AATGATATGGTACTTTTGTACTAACATCTAAACACTCCAGTTTAATACATCAGAGTCTCCTGATGACTCCAGATTGAAGCTAATTAAATTATAATTACAAATCAACATAATGATATATATATTTATATAGTTGTAAACATATTAAAAATTCATTGTCAAATTTCTTTTTTCTAGCATGCAAATGATGCTTCACAAATATGGCCATTTATAAGATAGCCAAAATTCATGTCTAGTCCAAGCTTTCAATTAATATGAGTAATTATCAGGGTGGGATGGGGGTCTAGTGGGTAAAGAAGACTTGCTGCATTTTCCCCACATTGGATTTAGTTTTAAAAAAAAGGGCAATACTTAAAAAATGCTTTTTATCTGAAGAATCAGCAATATTATTGGTCCTCTTCTGACAGCTAGGCTTCAGTCAGTTGCCCACTGCCATAAAAGTGCCTCACTTAGCCTCATTTATAAATACTTTCATGGTAATTATTTGGATGAACTCTTTGCTATGGTACCTAGACTTTATAAATTTAAGTACAGTACTAAACTGGTGTCAAGATCAGCAATTTACAGTTGAGCTGGCTAAATGCAGCCATAAATTCTATGCTAACAGTTTTTTTTCTTGCTTGTGGAACTCTTCCATGCTTTTTAGCCAGCTTTAATCTGAAAAAATTTAAATGCAGTGTTAAATCATTATCTACTGTCCTCCTGATTACTCTTTTCTTTTTCTGCTCATTACTAATGTTTCTGTTCCTAATTCCTTCACACCCTGTAATCTCTTGTGTGTTAGTGGCTGTATTGCCTTGCCTGAGTTGTTACCAATTAAGAAAAACATGATACAATTTGCTGTTTAAAATACATTTTTCTTTTAATGCCTTACCCAATACAGGTTCATGTAAGTTGAAAGTTTTGATGACACATGAATTTTACCTATTTTATACATAAACAGCCACACCTTGTGAAACATTCATTCGTTCACTCACTAGAAAAAAAACAAAAACATTTAATAGACATGTGTATGCATGCATAATATTTTTTGGTATGGGTAAATAATTAGTTGATTATTAGTAGTTTTCCTTAAATACTAATTATGAAATTATATATGTTATATGATAGGTAATATGGTAACCATATAAAGATATATGTAACAATGTGTAATTACTGAAGCATCTTTGTAACATATTTTCATTCTTTGTTTTTGTTTTCGGCCTATGGAAGTTTTTCCATACTTTTGTTAAAGCATCCTCCAGAAGTAGTCTTCTTTTTTGGTTACTTTTATTTTCTTTTGCATCCATCTGATGAAAGAAACCACAAGAAACATCCTTGAGCTAATTTCATTCAGTTCTTAGTGTTTAGATATTAACATCATATTTGTCCATCTACATGTGCAGTCTCTTTAAACAATATGTCATTGGTAATGGCTCTTATGATCAAGTTAGAATGCTCTGTATTTAATGTGATGTCTTTGCTGATCTCTCTAATATCTAATTGTTTTGAGAAAAGTTGGGACTTAACTCTATTCCACTTATGACAAATGCCAGAGTAGCAGTTGATTACATTTACTAAATCTATTTTACATTGTGCACCAAGCAGTTAAACTGACATTATTGATTTAACATGTGCACCTCCCCCCCCTGCAATAAACATGTGGAGGCAATGTAAAATATTTAAAAATTTTAGCACAAATGTAAACAGAAGTGTATTTACTTTTTGCAAAATTAAAACCAAAAAATCGTTACCAGGAAATATTTTTTTATTCTATGATTGTAACAGTTTAAATAAAATTATAAAACTTAGTTTTTCTCCTTGACGTCAAATAAAAAAAAAAAATACAACAATAAAAAAATAAGTTTCAATTTTTCTTCATGTGATGAGTTTTATTTAGAATTTGATTTTTTTTTTTTTTTAATAACAATGGCCTTGATAAGCCTTTGGGTAAAATAAACCTTTTATTCAACCACCTTTAATGATATGAAAGGGTTTTGAAATGGAAACAGTTACCAGGAAGGTCATGTGGGTGTAAAATATTAAAGATGGCTTTTACTCTTAAATTATCCAAGAGGTTTACATGTGGAGGAGGTCACCTTCTTAATATTGTACTAATCACTATAATGGCATATAACCGCCCCCCACCCCTCTTTCCTGCCAACTTTTCAAAAAAAAAAAAAAAAGGAAAGAAAAAAAAGCTTGGAACAGAAAAAATCCTCCTGGGTTTTATATGTAAAGTTAAGATATCTGGGTTATACAGATATTATAGATTGCCAGTAAGCATAAGTAGCTTAACTCTATAATACTGTGAAATTAAGGGGGAGGTCATTATATGCTATCAAATTTGGTATTAAAATAGCATCATTGAAAACATTGTATTAATTCCTGGACAGTTGTATTTTCCAGGAATTATCCCAGATAGATAGAATAATTAAAAAAAAAAAAAGGTTATAAAGTCCCTGCCATGAAACTTGACCTTTCCACTGGATTTGCAAATATAATAATAATAATAAAAAATAAAAATAATAATAAAAATAAAATAATAATAATAATAAAAATAAAAATAAAAATAATAATAAAAATAAAAATAATAATAAAAATAAAATAATAATAAAATAAAAAATAATAATAAAATAAAAATAATAAAATAAAATAAAAATAATAATAAAAATAAAAATAATAATAATAAAAAAAAAAAATAAAAAAAAAAAAATCAAATCCTCACATGTAATGGACCAATGGCCAGTAACAAATATTTTAAACTCTCAACATTTCTAAAATATTGAATTAAAAACTATAAAATCACACTTGATTATTTTCTGAATGTTAGGGCCATATAAAAAAAGAGAATACACAATAAAAAAAAAAAAAAATATGGCCCATAATAAAACTCATGATCATAATCATGTGTGATAAAAAGTAGTTAATAAGGCAAATGAAATAGGCAGCGATTAACAGGCTGTCAATGTGAATGTTAGCATTGATTAGAATATGTATTAGAACAATTAATATTCTGTAAGAAGAGTTAATATAGAAATTGGACAGAAATTGTTTAATGATACATTACTAGAAATAGAAAACATCCCCTAAAGTCATGGAATGTGAAAAATGTTAATTCATTTGCTTTTAAGTTCATTTTTAACTTCTGACTTGACCTTCTTTAAATGTTTTTTTATATTACAAGTAATATTAATTAATTTTTTTTATTTATTTATTAAATGAAGCATTGCCAACCATTATTAATTTCTCACTAGTATTTCTTGCATAGTTTGTGTTTTGCCTGGAGTTTATTATTTCCAATTTACACTGTATACTGACGGTTTTAGTAGATGTAATGAAAAGAGACTAAAGAGAAAAGAAATTCTAGTCAAAAATCTATAATGGTTGTTCAAGTTTATGATTGGTTACAAAATTCTTCAATCTATTTTGCTTCAAGAGCAATAATTGTTCAAAACCAAAGAAAAATAGTAAATATTATAATAGATTATATAGATTATAATTTCTGACTATTATACACAATGATGCTTTCAGACTAATATGCTTATCTTGGAGGATCTTGCTTGTTTTCATTACAACATTTTAAACACATGAATCATAGAATTGTAGCTCTACCTCAGCCATTGGTCATATTTGGTAAATGACAAAGGCAAAAATATGAGAAAAATATAACTGGTTCAACTAAAGGGTCCTGAAGTTTATTGGATGCACTAGAAATCCAAGGAAGGCATGAAGATACAATGGCCAAAGTATGATAAAAAACATCAAGATGAAGATGCTAAACTGAAAAAATGCATATAATAACAACATGGATAATAAGTAAATGTTTTGTTAAATAAGTCTAAATAAGCATTTCAAACATATTCATATATAAAACACACACAATTTTCATTAAAGATGACTGATAAGACACTGAGATTAAGCTTTTTATTTAATTTTTCTTGTGTTCATACAATGGTTTTCTTTTCTGAACACAAAGGGTGTAAAAACTGTGCCAAAATGTCTGGATGACTCTTGTAACACCTCTCTGATCATAGTTCAATTAGGATTCATTCAAACACACACAGAAACCTACCAAACACCATTCATAATACACTAGTAGAAAATACAAGTATAATAGCCTTATCCACATGTTAAAAAAAAAAAAAGTAATGGAAGCGCTAATAATGAAAAAGAAGAAACCAACACTCAATAACATTAACTATGAACACGGCCACAATGTGCTGACCATGTTTGGAAAATAAAACATTTCTATAACTTCAGATATATGCAAAAACCCCCACATATTCAGTTAAAAAATAAAAATTGTCTTTGATAATGCCTAAAAGAACATGATATGATATGCAGAACCTTTGGACAGGTTTTATGCACTTTGTGTCCAGAAAAGAAATCATTTGTAAAAACACAAAAAAAATGAAATAAAAAACTTAATTGCAATGCCTTGTCAGTCATCTTTAATGAAACTTGTATAAAAGAGGGATTGCTGGCCAAATACATACTTATAATCCAGAATATACAAGATATGTATAATATGGAGATATATTTAAATTATTCTATGATTAGTTTATCATTTGATGAGAGAAAATTATCCTGCTCATGTACAAGACAAAGAAAGATTTGTATACTATGTTGGCTAATCTTATATTTCTATAATACAACATGACAATAATGGAGCTAAAAATTACAATTTTAAATTCCATTAATGATTTCACTAAAATGTTTTTCTTGTATTTTACCAGTCAAATCTACCTTTGTATATAGTTTAAAGCCTATTCATATGCCAAACACAATCATACTTATATACTTATCACAATACAATGCTGGTAAAATGCAAAATTCCTCAAATACCAGCAATGATATTAATGATTACAAGCAAAGTTTTTTTTTCCCATTGGTTGGTGAAACAAATACTTGAAAAAAATACCTTGATTGGAAGGAGTTCATTTGGCGGTGGGGGCTTATAATGTAGGAAATAATAGTAATAATATTAATAATAATAATAACAATGATGCTAGCTCTGCCTTTTATTTAGTTGGTGTGATGAGCCACTGAACAATTTCTTGTCGAATGGCATCACCGTCTGGTTCTTTTTCTGCATGAAGCTGGTGCCGCAGTTCTGGATAGATCTGAAATGGTTAAAATTATTAGGAATTTAATATAATGAAAAAGCATGTCTAAAGAGAAAAATATATAATAGATTCAATTTTGCAAACTGATGAACAACATAAAATTATAAATTAATCTAGAGAATTTATATAAATAATCATATTTTTTATTTATCAGGAAGGTAATTCTCTATCATCATAAATTATTTTGGAATATTTTATTGAGCAAGACATGATAAATACTAACATTATTAAAGAAATGCTATATTTTTTATAGGATTTCTTAACTTTCTAGTGTAAAAATAAACAAAATCTTACATTCTCCATGTCAGGTCCATAAAACTGCAGAATTATATAGAAAAGTTAGTCAAGCATGTCACAGGAGTCTTAAAAAGTTATATTTAAACAAAGTTCATAAAAATTTTTTCTATTGAGATAGTTCTCATTTTTTGATATCTTCACAGGTGAATATAGTGGGATATCAAAACTGAATGTGAAAAACAAGTGATAGAGACAATGTCTAAAATAATAGATATATAAATATTTACAGAGTTTGATATGTTATTGTGTTCATAAAAAAATACATAAATAAGAAATTAATTATACTGTCACTTTGTAGTGTCTATAAAAAATAAATAAATAAATAAAAATTAATTATAGCGTCAAAAATAATTATAATTATCATTAATTCTAAACCACTGAGAATCAACCTCACTTTTCTCTTCCACACACACACACACACACACACACACACACACACACACACACACACACAAAACAAAAACATGTGACATTCTCACTATTGAACAGGCTGTCAACATGTGTGTCAATGAAAATAATTTATTAGTTGGCACACAACAAAAAAATAGAGGTAAGAAAATCCCAGACACTTCTTGCATTTTCTGACTAAATTATCTGGACACTCTTTACACACATCTATAAAAAAAAGCTCACAAGAGAACTGTACTTATTCTATCAGATTCTGAACCATATTTAATCTGCATTTGACCCCAAACTTACAATTTTACTCAGTATTACTGCCCCTCATGTCTGCAACACCCACATTAACAACCAGATAAGAAATAATACTTGTTTTGTTGTTTCCATGTCTTTCTGTTTCTCTTTTTACAAGTATTCTTTGTATATACATATGGTATATAGAGATGAAGTAAAGGCCAAATTTACTGTCTATAGTACCATTTATTGTTGACTCCATTTGGTTTCAGTGTTTAAAATGGTTGACTATCATCATAGTTTTTTTTTGTGATTTGAGAGTTCATACAGGGTTGTTGTGTTCCTTCTGGTTGACGGAAATTAATTTGTTGCATTCATCCTTTCTTCTTTCTCTTCTGGAATTGTATGTCAGATCAAACTCACAGCCGATGAATCACCAACCCTTGCATCTCGAACTGCTCAAATTAAGTTCCTTCTCTACTGCGGTGTCTCATATGTGGTTTTCTTCTTTTTATTGGGGCTGACATATCCGTGTTTCCTCATTTGATTTTTGGCAGGACGTGTTGTCACTGGTTGATATTTTATGACATTCACTGACCCACATAAACTAAGTCTGGGTTCATGTCCATTACCAAGGATAGGAACAATAGAAGGAAAGGAAAGGAAAGGAAATATATAGAAGAGGGGGAGAGAGAGAGAGAGTTTCCTTTGTCACTCACTTAGTAAAGAAGAAAGTGTATATTTTTGTATCTTCCTAATCTTACTACATACAAATGTAAGGGGGTTTATAATTATTTATTCATAGTTAGAACTCCCCTGCACTATAAGGCAAGTGTAGTGAAGATAAAACTCTTTACATTGGATTTATCAAATGAGATTTGAAAGGATTACTTTTCAAGCAGGTATTCCATTTATAATTACTTAATATGACAAAAAACCAACTTTCACTTGGATGATAATGATTCAACTCAAATCTCCTTTACTGACTCAAATTCTTTTCAATAAGGTTTCATTGTTAAATTTAGATTGCCATTAATAGTCCCTTGCTTTAGCTAAATTTCTCAGTAATACTGAAAAAGTTTGATAGCAGAATTTTAGAAAAGAGGATTTGTAAATTATGTAGAGAAACTATAATAATCTGTAGACTAACATTTTTTTTAATGGTGACAGTAAATTGAAATATTTTATGTGTTGTTTGGAAATTTATAAATGGCTGTAAGAATTCTTAATAGTAACAATTCTATGATGATCTTGTTTTAATATTTGTGCTGCACTTGATGCATTACAAAGGGTTTCAAATGAGTGAAAAGATCAACGAATGTCCTTTAAACTAAAATAGAGAAAAAGTGGCAAAATATAAACAGTGGGATTCAAATTGAAAAATTAAAACTACAAATCCCATGATCACAGTCAATAAGATATTAGAATTAAATGTTCAAAGTTGCTTGGATCATAAAATCAATTATCATATTTTTAAAATGATTAAGTGACATTCAACTAGCTTTTCATGACACACAATGTACAGGTCAGTGCCATTAAGCCCCACACCAATAAACCACAATGCACAAGGGACCCACAAATTTTTTGTCATGTTCATAGAATCAATCATCAGTGGATTCAATTTGAAAAAAATTCAAACTCGATTGTGACACTTTATAAAGTTTGATTTTTTCTGTATAATCTTTTATTTTAATAAATTCATTAAATTGAGTATTAATACCTTTAGTATATGCGTATTTTCCTAGTCAATTATTATTGTTTAGTCTTTGACATTTCACACTTACGATTGTGTAGTGTTTTGAATTAGCACTTCGCGGACATTTTGTGTGCAAAATATGCAGCTTCCAAACTTTATCCTAAATTACAAATTTCACATATTTACTCAACGGGATTTGCTTTAGTACCAATAACGTACTTTCCAAATAATTTATATAATCTGCAGAGAAGAACCATTTTAAATCATGTTTTAAGGATTATTAATGGAGGCTGCCATTGCAGCCAAATAACACCTTTTGACACTTTCAAAAATCTTCTCATATTAAATTTTTGTATAAACCAAATAATAAACAGGCAAAAATTAAAGTTTTGCACAGTGTCTCTCTAGATATCATAATGATCACAACATTTTTATACTGAGATATTAACCCATCATCATGAAACATAAACACACCTCAGTTGTTCAAAGCATATGAAATGGCACAGCTTGCAGCAAAGTCTCTAAAGAGATGGGTGTACCAGAATCTACATTGAGAGGTTGGATCAAAAATGAAAAAAAGCTACAAAGTTTTCCTAAGATGAGTTCAAAGGAAGTTTGAAGAGGAAAAGGGCCAGAACTGCAAGGGATCCTGATCTTGACAAGGCAACATTTAACATGTTCTGTGAAGCTAGAAATAATGGGATATCCATGTCAGGGTTATTATACATGCCCAGGCTGAGAAAATACATCAATAACTTCATGGTGAAAATGCAGATCCTGAATTCAGCATATCTAGTGGATGGTTGAGATGGTGAAAGCAGTACCATGGCACAGGTAAAAATAAGCAGTGTAGCAAGGTTGGCAGACACAACACAAGCTGAATTATTCATACCAAGATTTCAAAATTTTGTGCAAGAGCAGTAACTACATCCCGAGATGATATATAATGCAGATGAGACGGCCCTTTATTATCGTATCATACCAGAGAAAACGCTTGACGTAAAGAATGACAATACAAGTAGAGAAGGCTTCAAGAATATGAAAGAAAGACTGATGCTCCTTTTCTGCTGCAACATTGCAGGAAGCTACAACGGTAAGTTTTGATCTCCAAGATGTTTTCGTCACGTGAATTTGAAGCAGTTACCAGTACTCTACAACAACAACAACAAAAACACCTGGATGACATCAGCCACTTTTGAAGACTGGTTTAAACAAGTCTGCCAGCATCTAAGAAGTTTGGGGTTAGAAGAGTGAGCCTGCTTGCTGTTACCTAACTTCCCAGTGCACCCCATCTTCTGAGAGCTTAAGATCCAGAGACGGGAAGATCTTTGTTTACTATCTGCCAAAGAATTACATCATCAAAGATACATCGACTTGACCAGGGGATTATCATCACATTCAAGTCCAACTATAGATGTGAGTTGATAAAAACACTGATGCAGGAAGACACCATAGTCCCAGAGTATCTGAAGAACTTGAACATTAAAGATGCTATGTGTCTCTTTGTGGGGTAGCCTGGAGTGTGTCATTAGGTGTTGGGATAAGGCATTGGGATCAACAGAAGTAGATGAAGCCCAGAGTGTGAATTTCAAGGCTTTACAGATGAAGAAGTGAAGGCAGCTGAAGACAAACTTCATAAGGTGGTGATGGAAACTGCACAAGTTCATGAAATCCTTTCAGCCTGGTTGACTACTAATGACGATGTCCCCATTGCTGGGTCTCTACTGGTAGAAGAACAAGAAGACGTAGAGCCAGATACCAGTCCACCCAAGCCAAGCTTGTAGAATGTCTGTAGTAGAGCCTGGAATTTTATGAGAGTTTTGGTGATTCAGTAAAGGTTTTACAACTACAGATTATGTTCAGAGATGCCAAGAAAAGAGAAAAAAACAACAACAACAAGCAACTCTCTATTACTGACTTTTTTAAACAAAGTGTTATTACAAACTTTATGTTTATTTTCCATTATGTACATGTAAATTTATCAAAAATGATGTTTCTTATTAATTTTGTAAAATTTGTATTGTATCATTACATTGCATAGAAACCTGTGTTTGTATGTAGATGTTACTACATTGTATTGTTATATTACTTTTATTAATACATTACAATACAATGTATTGTAATGTTTTTATTCAAAATCTTAATAAAACTATAAAAAAAATAATTTTATTTTTTTCTTATTAAAATGTTAAAATCTCGTGCGTACGAGATTTCCGCCATCTTTTGCTGTCATCGATGATGGATCTATTGATATGGCGCTTTATAATTGGAATCATTTTAGACCGCCATCTTTCAGATTTATTCACATTGCTGCAGGTTTTTATGTGAAATTAAAGGATAGATTTAATAAATGTTTTTCAAAATTGCCAATATTCAATTCTTAGTATTGAATATGCATTTTGCATGCTTAGCCATTGTGTTACCCATTTTCGCGGATAACTCCATGGACTTGACAAGCTTTGTTTTGTTGGTCTAAGCTGACAATCCTGACATTGCAGCTCACTTTTGATCTAATCCGTGGATAGATGGTTTGGACCACAACTACCGTGATTTATTGGCGCTGACCTGTATATTTAATTTGGACAATTAATGATGAAAATTTAAACCAAAAGAAATTACATTGCAATCATATTTATACAATAACATTCTTGTATTCATATTAATAAATGGCCTGTACATAAACATCCAAAATGTTTTATATTTTCTCTATTCAAAACTTTCAGAATCTCTCTCTCTCTCTCTCTCTCTCTCAGCAAACATTTACAAACATAGGTAGCCAAAATTCTTTTTTCAAGGCACCTAAACAAAATTGTGTGTAGGTTAGTTATGAGAAAGTAAATTAAGTCCCATAGGAACTGAAACAATACTTTCTGTATTAAAGCCCCACACTTTAAAATAAGGGTGATATTTTATTAATTAAACTGAAGAGGTAGATTTTAAAAAATTTGAAAAACTTTAACAGAAAATAAGAAATAGGAATCTTTAAAAAATTACAACACTTTTCTGGATAATTAATAGTGTGAGAAACCAAAAAGAAAAAAAAGAAATTGGTCTTTAATCAATGCCTTTGTTGAAGCCTGAAAATTGCCTTTTATACATAAAAGCCCATTAGATCAAAATATTTCTCCTTGTTAGCTATAAAGATGATATTTTTTATTTGAACTTTAAACTATTTTTTTGATTAATTAGTCAATTTTGGTAAGTTACAATAAAAAACCTAACCTAACTTTTAAGAAGAATTTCAACAGATCCTTTTTAGCCAATGTAAGTTTGACTATTTTCCTACCTAGAAAACAATCTTACCTTTAACGTTTTATCCTGACTTGAAGCTTTTTCATGCAAAATCTTTGAATGTTCAGGTGGAACAATGATGTCTTCTTGTCCATGCAGGATTAACATTGGGCAATTGATTTTGGGAAGATTTACTTGAAGATCAGAAAGGGCTTCAATAAAGGTTTTTATAAATCTGAAGCAAAAAAATGAGAAAATATTTACTTGTTATTAACAAGAACATTTTGAGTAAAATTCAGTCTATTCTTTTGGAGTGATCTCATTTTTGCTAAATGAAATCATTGTAATATGTATTCTTGAAATCATTTTGAGACATTCTAGCATGTGATATAACAGTATTTTCAAAAAATTTAATCATTAACAAAATGAAGATATATTAATAAATTTGGTCACAAAATATTTTTTATTATTCTGAAGTTGTCAGGAAAATGCCATAAGAAACACATTAAGTTTACAAATCTTATAAATTTATAAAAGCTCAAGCCTGATATGCAAAATTTAATATATTTTGTAAGAAAGAAGAAAAAATTCAAAGAAAGATCAGATGTAAAAGTCTCAAATTGAATATTCCAGTCAATTTCCTAAATAATTGTGCACAATTTGATGAACACAACCAATGGCTTCATTTTGATAGAATAAAATCTGGATGAAAAACTTAGACAATGAGCAGGAATTTAAAAAAAAAAGCTTTTATGCAGGAGTCAGTGTTGATGAATTAACAAATTTATTTAGGATTAAGCATATAAAAACTTATTCTATTATGCTATCATTTCAAGGATAGATTCCTTTCAAAAATTCTCCTACAAAACTCATTCTGCATCTTATATCCTCTAATGGTTGAGGGACAAGATTAAAACATAAATTGTCATTTGGCACTGTCATCCCATGATGACTCTAGAAATTTTGTCTTGGTTTTGTTGATTTGGTTTGGTATTTAATGTGAAATGTAAATATTTTGAATGCAATTGTATGCCTTCAACTACAGATAAAATGTATTGTTGGTCATTTTGTTATAAATATGTATTGTTATAGATTCACAGTGTTTTACTTTCATTTGGGGGTTCACTATTTTCCCGTAGCTTGGACCCTAACAGATGCTACCACTCCTGGTCAGGGTGGACAAGGAAACAACAGCAATTAAGTGGTGGTTCTATGCTCCTCAAAACCTCCAATCTGATTAGAGGCCTTAATGACAGATGGTAGTTTCATTGTCATACCCAGGACTAGTTAATTAAATTTCATAATTTATAATCACATATAATTATAAATCAAAATAATGTTAAAATATATGGAGGAATCATCAATTGAGTATCATTAGTTTTTTTCCTGAATATTCCTTGCCAACTTATTAAATGTAGAAAATATATAAGTATAAGTTTCAATACAGCTAAGTAATTAAAAAATAGTTTTCGTGCATGAATAATATTTGTTATGGCTGATTTTTGTTCTTTTCCTATTGCTTCTCATTTTTACCACAATTCTGAATATTCCTCACCTGAAGAAAAAAAAGAAAAGAAAAAAAAGATGGTTCTCCTTTGAGAAATTGCCCAGCCTGCATTTATATCCTTTCCCTCACTCCCACTATTTCCAGTAATGACCCTCACTTAAACTCACTTTTCTTCTCAGACATTTTTAGAGTGCATAAATATAATTACTTAGAATAATATGACTAATCAAGCACATAATGAAATGAAGAAGCTGAATGGTTAAAAAAAGAACCAATCACAATTTCTGTAAGGGCCATGTAACCTTGGCTATATAAATGCCAAATTCAAAGGACCATCCTCTTTTTATTCCACCATGTTACTAAGGCAGCATGAAGCAATGATATTCCTTCACCACACGTCTGGTCAGTGGTTACCAAGTTACAGAAGAATGGGGACCAGCAGCCTGAAGATAAATTACTACTACCTAAAGAAACTAGCTGAGAACTGAAAGGAACTTTTTCAACAAGGACTGTTGACAAGATAACTAAGCTAAGTCTGCAGACACATATTGTCGGCAGCCTCTTTTCTTAAAATTTTTCTTTTTCTGTTTGGATTAAATAAATTTAAATAGTACAGATTGTTGTGTTTCTTTCTCTTCAATACTTGTCACCCAGACTGTTTGAGCACACAAGTACTTACTTCTAACCCTTCATAAACTTGGGGTTGTAACCTAGTGTAATATAGTGGATATAATCACTACATAACCATCTTTGCAAAATCTTGAAAGAAAAAAGTATTTTTAAAGGAAGTACAAAAAATATAAATGATTGACCAGCCACTGATTCAGGTTTTGTTAATTGGTGCTCGATTCACCAGTGACAAATATTTGCTCAGGGTTTATGAAAAATATATATTTTTTTTATTTTATTTATAAAATCAAATCTCTTACCCTGCTTTCATGAATCCATGATAGGTGAGAGGATCAGTCTTAATTAAAGCAATCTGGACAAAGAAAAAAGAGAATCAATTAAAAAGACAGAATGTTTATTCTAATTCAGATCATAAATATAAACATATAGAATTTTTTTTTTAATTGTTTCACCTCAAGCAAGGCAATAAAGCCATTAAGATGCAAGGAGTTAATGAGTGTGAAAGGATTCAAGAAAAAATATTGACGAGAGATGAAAATAAAAGCAAAAGAATTAAGGAGACAAAAGATGACAATTGATATTGCATTTAAAATTTTGAAGATCACAGTTGATTGGAAAGCAAGAAGCTGGAAGATGGTTCCATGAGTGAGAAATGTGAGGAAAGAAATCATTAGCATTAAACTTATGGTTACAACTAGCAATTTCAAACAATGACGAGAACCAGCTGCCAATCTAGTACTGTGCTTAAATTTGTAATGTTGAGGTACCAAAAAGAAAAGCTGATCAGAATAATTACCATGAAAATATTTATGGAAAAGGCACAGGGAAATGACACTACAATGGTGGGAAAGTGACTGAAACAGAGATGTCAAGTCATGGCTGATAATATTTTGCATATCTTTTGGATTTTATCAAGAATGAATCTCTGAATTTATGGCAGCAGCACCAGACCAGATGTAGCAGCAATATCAGAGTTACAGATTAATGGTAGACTTTTAAAGGTGTAAGATAGATTCTGACAATAAAAAATTTTCTAGCCCAACACAGTGAACCAACTTTCCTAGCAGCAGACCTATAATTGCTCAGACCAGTATAATTGCTCCACTTAATGTCAGTGGAAAACGTTAACCTGAAAAGGTGCAATGAGTCACTTTACTGGGGGGTAGCATAATTGATAGCTGAATTTTGATCTTAAATTTTCACTGTTTAAGGTTTAAGTTTGATTTTAGTGATTAGTATTCGCCTCTGAATTAAGTGCATTGACAAAGGAGATTATTTTGAAAAAATAAATATTAAGCTCCATACTTATTGATGTAAAAACACAGAAATATCAAAATTTCAATTAAATGAAAATTAACACAATGTTATTAAGTATCATTTTGGCTTTCATTAAATATCACCATTAGGCACATCTGATTTGCCGTGTCATGGTTGAATAAATGGATAAATAGCCTCTTCCTTAGTTATTGGGAGAGTGGTTTGCCCAAGTGTTATGATGTTGATTTGGGGTTAATAAAGACAAACGCCAAATAACACGTAACAATAAAAAGGGGTTTATTCGGTTGGTAAGTAGGTACAGCAATCGCCTGAGTAGTCTATAACTAACTCAGCCAAGAATTTCTCCGACCTCTGTCTGTCTTTTGATATGTCACTATTTAACGTCTTTGTTTATAGACAAGTTCATCTTCAAGAGGGGTGGTAGGTTTCCTACACAACACCTCCCCCTTGAGATTAATTCCGGAGGAATTAATATCTTTTCCTTTTGGGATCTGGACTTAAACGTTCCACCCTCGTTCTTTTTCTTTTGCTTGTCCTTCTTTGGACAACTGTTTCAGGCAATGGTGGAGTCGGTATATCAAATAAATCATATAATACCTCCATTGGTTCTTCATTTTCATTACTTATTTCTTCAATGATTCTTTTCCTTAATTGGTTCAAATGTCTTTTGTGTGTCCATTTTTTACTTCTGATCATGTACAACATTTTACCATTTCTTTGCGTTACCACTCCATCTTGCCAAAATTCCTTCCCATTTTTGTAATTTTTAAAAAAAACTTTATCTCCCGGCCTGAAATATTTCATATTTTCTTGATGCGTTTTGTTCTGGTAACTCTTTTTTCTTTCCGGCAGCAGCCTATTGAACACAGATCTAATTTTCCTAGCAAACATCAGTTCAGCTGGAGACATCCCTGATACTGCATTTGGATTTGGTGTTATTCTGTATATACTTAAAAACTGCTGTATATTACCATCATCTGTATTAGTACCATTTGTTTTTTTAAGGGCTCTCTTGAACGTATCAACAAACCGTTCAGCCTGTCCATTTGACCTAGGATGGTACGGTGAAGTCGTGATGTGGTCAATTCCCAGAGTCTTACAAAACGCCTTAAATTCACTTCCTGTGAATTGAGTTCCATTGTTAGTGACAATTTTTTCTGGTACTCCAAACCGTGCAAACAGTTCTGTAAGAAAATCTTTTGTTACAGAAGCAGTTGGTCTTTTGCACTTAAAAACCTCAGGCCACTTGGAATAGCTATCCACAACTATCAAGTAAAAAATACCATTCATGGGTCCAGCATAATCTATGTGGAGTCTGGTCCATGGAACATCTGTTTTTGGCCATGGTGTGTATTTTACTGGCGGTGCTTTCGCTGCCATTTGACACCCTCTACAAGTTTTAACTACCTGTTCAATGTCTTTGTCCATATTTGGCCAATAAACGTAACTCCTCATCAGGGCTTTCATACGTCCAATATCAGGATGCCCCTGATGAAATTCCTTCAAAATCTGCTTTTGTAGTACAACCGGTATCACGATCCTTCTAGCATATAACAGCACTTCATCACATATTGAATATGCTGGTGAAGAAGTTTTATACTTTTCTGAAGTTACAACTTCTTTCATTTTTTTAATAAAAATGTCATTTTCTGATTTTAATTTTATTTCATCTAATGTCACCGGTAATTCTTTTACTGTGTTATACATTACTTCAACCAATTCATTTTCTGCTTGTAACGACGCTATCACCGTATCTTCTAGCGGTTCCGAGGACGTTGGGATCAGCCTAGATAAACCATCAGCATGGCTTAAATTTTTCGATGATAAAAATTCCATTTTGAAATTGTAATTCAACAAAATGGTTCCCTATCGTTGCAAACGGTTTGCTGTATGAGTAGGTATACCCTTCTTTGAACCATAGATCGAAAACAGTGGGCGATGGTCAGTCTGCAATATAAACCTTCTTCCATGTATGTACTTATGGAATTTTTTACAAGCATAGATGATAGCTAAGCTTTCTTTCTCAATTTGAGAGTACTTCTTTTCTGTGGGTAATAATGTCCTCGATGCATGTGCCACTGGCTTTGTATTGCCGTCTCTGAAGTTATGCAAAATTACCGCACCTATTCCGTACTCGCTTGCGTTCGATGCCACTATAATTTCCTGTTTAGGGTCATAATGTGTTAGTGATAATTCCGACGTTAAAATATTCTTTATTTTGTCAAACGCCTTCTGACACAGTTCTGACCATTCCCACTTTGCTCCCTTTTTAAGCAATTTATTTAATGGAGCCGTAAGGCTGCACAAATTAGGAATATATATCCCATAATAGTTAGCAAGTCCCAAGAATGCTTGTAATGTTACTACATTTTTGGGAGATGGCATGCTTTTGATCGCTTCTGCCCTCGCTGGATCTGGTCTTCTTCCATCAGAGTCTATTATCTGCCCCAAAAACTTAATTTCACTCATAAAATATTCACATTTTTCAGCTGCAAGTTTGAATCCATATTCTTCAATTTTTTCAAAAACCTTATTAATATGTTCCCAATGTTCATTTCGATCTTTACTTTTTATCAAAACATCATCAAGATATGCAATGGCAAAGTCCAACCCTGCCAGCACAGTGTCCATAATTTGCTGAAAAATACTAGAGGATACTTTCAAACCAAACGGCAAATGGTTAAATTTGTATAAACCCTTGTGTGTATTGATAGTCAACAATTTAGAACATTCTTCGTCCACTTTCGCTTGGAGATAGGCATCCGATAAATCCAATTTAGAGAATATTTTTCCTCCACTTAAACTTGCAAAAATGTCTTCTGGTGAAGGCAAAGGATATGTGTGGTCTTTTAAGCAATCATTTAGACCCGTAGAGAAATCGGCACACATCCGAATTTTATTATTCTTTTTCTTAACATATACAACAGGGCAGGCCCACTCTGAAAATTCAATGCGTGAAATAACTCCTAAATTTTCAAGCCGTTCCAATTCTTTGTCAATCTGTTCCACAACACCAAATGGCACATTTCTTTTTTGCTTGAAAATAGGTTTTACATTTTCTTTCACTTCAAATTTTGCCTTCGCCTTTTTGCAACATCCAAGACCTTCTGAAAATACTTGTGGAAATTTTATTTTCAGATCTTTCAACAAATTTTCTGTAACCCGATTATTACATCGAGAAGAAACATTAATTGCAAAAAGAATTTATAGGGAGTTCCCATAAATTAAACAGTATAATCCAATCTGTTCCAAACAAATTTGAAGCATTTTGTAGCACATACACTTTAGACTTTAGTGTCTTACCAACAAATGAAATATTACAAGAAAATTCACCTTGAAAATGCAATTTTCTTCCAGAAACTCATGAGCCACTTTTTTTTCAGTCTTTTTAAGCAAAGGTCTGCCTATTTTAATCCATGTTGCTGTATTAATAATGGAAATATCACTTCCAGTGTCTAGCTGTAGTTTAACATTTTTTCCATTAATTTTTACCTGTACGAATTTTCTTTTCTGCCCCTCCTCAATCTCCTGATGTGACAATACAATATTCACATCTTTTTTCGACTTAAATTTTTTTCTTTTGCTTTTACAATGAGTACTTATATGGCCTTTATTGCCACACGAATAGCACTTGTTGTCACAAAAAAAACATTCACTTTTAAAATGACAACCACCACATCCAAAGCACGTTGGTTTTTTAACATTTTTATTAACTATTCCCTTTTTTGGTCGAATAGCATGGACATGGGATACGTCTTTTTCTTCAATTTGCGTATTGTCATGTTTTAAGTTTTCAATTCTTTGACACTCTTCCGTAACCTTCTGCAAAGTAATCTCGGAATTTTGTTCGAGTTTTGCCAATATTCGGGACCTTATGTCCTTATCTTTGCTAGAAGTCAAGCCTTGAACGAATATCAAACATTTAAATCAATCACTTGAAAGATCATGTAACATAAAACGTTCACACAGTCTGTTAACATTTCCAGCATACGTAACAATATCCTCATCGTCACGCTTTACCATATTCAAACACGAGAAACGAGTATGAAACAAACTAACTCGCTCGCCAAAAAT